CGGGCGGCGGGTTGGAACGCTGCATCGCACCCCTCGGACTGGTAGGCTGCCACGTGTCGGTCTTCTATATTATTCCTAGGCTCATTTTTTTTCTTCTATCTAAATTTTAAATAAGCAGTTAAAATCAAGTCTGAACATTCACGCAGAAGGATATTATCAAACACATTAAGGTACGCGGAAGGAGCGCCCGCTCGTCTGATCCACGTGTCCATTTACTGTGTCGACGATTCTGAAGTATTGTGCCTCGTTGAATATCTCTTCCGAAAATAGCACCTTCACTGGATAAAACGTCCCGGTTAAACCTAGGGATAGAGAGAAAAGGGTGATTTCTTCCCTATGAAGGCAAGATCCAGGCGGTGCTCCCCTCCCTCCTTCCTCTCGTGCCGCCACCACTCCATATCCTCCCTGTCGGCTCCCTACTCGACCCACCCGCGTCCTCCTTCACCTCAGTAACGGTGATGTTGTTTATCCTAGTGCTAGTAATGATGCTGCTATTATCCTGCAGCGCACCGCGGAGCGAAGGGAGGAGGTGCGGCGCCTCGCAACCAAGGAATCCGACCTGGCGGAGCGGGAGTCGGTGCTTGTGTACTGTTCTGAGTTGTTCCCTGTGTGCTGCACGAGGCGGAGGTGCCAGAGGCGCCGATGTGGACACCACAGGAGGAGGAGGTCGTGGAGGCGCCGACGCCTCCACCGGCCGTAGCCAGGGTCTGCGCGTTGTGCTTCAGGCCAACCATGTTTAGGCGCAAACAGTGCAAGGCCACCAAGTACTGGTGAGTTGGCTGAAACCCTGTTCCTATTCCCCTTCACAGTTTGTGTAATCTCGGCGGGTGATTTGGAATCAAGGGAAGATAGTCTACAATTTGTTCAATTGAGAGTGGAAATGCACTGTATTTTATAGATCGATAATATTTGGATTTTGCCTGAATTTGTATGTACACAAGATGACTGATTGCGAGGTGAACTAGGGCGGTTACTGACGATTAATTTTGCATGTCTCTAGGAACTCTGGTTTGCTAAAGTTTTCCCGTGATTGGTCAGTTATTCATCTACTAGAAGGAAGGCTAGTAGGATACTAATGGCTCAGTTATGCAGTCACCATTGATGGCGCCTCTCCTTGTAAAATTGAACATTTGTTTTGTGTCCTTGATTTCTAGATACCATCCAATTGGGTCAAGACAACTAATATCAGTCAATTGTCTTTTATGTTAACCAACATAGGCCACAACCTGTCTTAGGCTATTAACCATCCTAGTGATTCACATGCTTCTAGATGAACACTTCTCCTTGTAAACCTGAATATTTGTTTTGTATCCATGACTAAAAGATACCTTCCAATTGGTTCCACACAACTAATATTAGTCTACTACCTTTTTTAATAACCAACATAGGGCACAACCTGTCTTAGGCTATTAACCATCCTTAGTGATTCACATGCTTCTAGATGAACACTTATTATTTGAGTGTCACAATGTCTTTTGTCATGGACCTTTCTTTGATTGATCTATTGCAAGATTTATCCTATGACATAGCTAGAATGTCTGGAAGAGTGAAGCACCAGTGGATGTATTCTTAGATAATGTGTAACAAAATAAGATGCACATTTGATTGGTTCCTTACATGAGCACCTATCATGTCTCTGCTCGTACAGAAAGGATGCCAATCCTGGGGTGTGTAGATTTCAACAAGGCTAACACCTATTCCCCTGTATTAAGCTCTTTTGCTTACTGCGGCATATGGGTCAGATCAATCAGCCGATGATAATGCTATTTGTTCATATTCATGTTGAGCTCTTAGTGTTTTTGAGGTTCATCGAGGGCTCTTCTGTTATTAATATTGAGAAGATAGCATCTTGGTTACTAAATGAATCATTCTCAACTCTTTTTTTGTAGGTTTGTGTTCAAAATAAAAATGTCATCCCGTGTACGAGCATAGTTGATTAATGATTTGGCAGATGTCAAATCTGTCTTGTTTATACTTTTGAAGTTGAATTTTAACCACACTTGTCTCGATTAGTTATACTTTGCTGATTATTCTGCTCAAATCAACACCTAACTGTAATAGTAACACTGTATGCTCACTTCTCATAATTTAGATTCTAAATTTTAAATGGGAATAATCTTGATTTCAATGTATAGCAACTGCAACTTCTAAAGTAACTAAAATGGCATGATTTCTGTTTTGCTAAAATTCTTCCAGGAAGGTTTGTTAGGAAACAAAGTCCTCTCTTTCATGAAGTTCAGAATGATACACTTTAGTTAGTTCCTTTTGATGTATGACACTTTAATTACTACATCTTGTTGTTACATATCTTCTTGCTTAAATTGTGATGGCAGTGGGAAGATAATTGTTGAACATTGCACAAGCTATTATCATTCAGGATAGGGAGGTATTGAGGATGGTTCAGCTATTTGACTTACCTAAGGAGGTAGTGTTGACAAGAAAAGGCAAGCACTAGGCAATATATACAAGGTTATGTAAACTCATGAACCCCTTATGTAGTTTTCCGCATGTTTAGTTTAAACAAGTAACTTTGTCAGAGCTATGCCTAGGTTGTCCATACTGAGATATCTATCAATTGATAAGGTGCTTATACTTGTTGATTTGTATGCTTTAAGTGGAGTAATACAGTCTGGATGAAACAATACTCACTTTTCAGTTTAGTTTATTAGGATCCACTTACTCGAAGAAGATATTATTGTTATTGTTAGTTATTACCCATTTCTATCTTATCATGCAGGTGACTTTTATATATTTGTTCATGTGGAAGGAGAAGAAGGCATCCGCAGAGAAGGTCTCAGTTTGTATTCTGATCTAACGATTGATTACACTGATGCAGTGTTAGGAACAATGGTGAAGGTGAGATGTCGAAGCTCGAAACCTTTTTGACATTTAATCGTTGTCCTCAAGTTAGATCACACAAAACTTACGTGTTGTCTTATAACTGAAGTATATCCTTTGTTAATTCCATACTTGTGCAATCATTCTCATTTTGTGCTACAAAGACTCCCGCTTAAGCTTAATCGAGAAATCAATACTATTTTTGCAAATAACCTTACATGTCGAGGTGCTTCCCTCTGTGCCCTTTGCTAGCGTGTGCATGTATATTAGTGGTGGACAACCACAAAGACTAAATGCCAACATGGTTCTGTTTATTACTTTGATCTTGTGGTTTTAAAATGGTTTATGTGTAAGCCAAACTTTCAAAATTCAACGTATTCATGCTACTTTTATTCTTTTCATCATGCTTGATTCTTTACATTTCATAGTTAAAGCATAAATATATTGTTGGAGCTGCACATGACAAGGTTGACAAGGTTGTGCTGCTATGTAAAATGGACACATAGGATGAGCCGAGGCGCACAAACAATACAAGTGCGCACAGGACCGCCTTAAGAGGCGCCACCCAGCCACTATGTCACGCCCAATATGCGACCCTATCCCCGAGGAATTCAAAGGTCCCACCAAGGATAGAAGCGCATATTGAAGACGCTTTGCAAGGTGGATATCATTACATCCTACCATTACATAATAGATGGGGATACATACAAGGCATACAAATGCCACATGAATACAACAACATCATACATATGAGCAACGTCCGACTACAGATGAAACACAAATAGAAACTCAAATGACATCCACCCTGCTAGCCTAGGTTGTCGACCAGGAACCTATCCCCTGATCAAAGAAGAAGAAGCAGAAGAGCTCCAAAACAAGCAAACATCGCTCTCACGTCAGATCATCGCATTACATGTACCTGCAACTGTTGTTGTAGTAATATTTGAGCCACGAGGACTAAGCAATCCCATTACCATGGGTATCAAGACTAGCAAATCTTAATGGGTATGGAATGGATAAGTGTTGAGGTTGCAGAAAATGACTAAGCATTGTATGGTGGCTAACTTACGAGTACAAGAGTAAGATGAGAAACTACGCAAACGGTCGCAAACTAGTAATGATCAAGAAGTGATCCTAAACTACTTACGTTCAAACATAACCCCACCGTGTTCTCTTCTTGACCTTACTCGAAAAGAGACGATCACGGTTACACACACGGTTGGTGTATTTTAATTTGGATCTGGTGTCAAGTTCTCTACAACCGGATATTAAAAATTCCCATCTACCACATAACCGCGGGCAGGGATTTCGAAAGATTAAACCATGCAGTGGTGTCCCAACTTAGTCCATCACAAACTCTGAGGATCAACAAAGGAAAATCCTCCTCCCGGAACAACCCAATCAAGCTCGGAATCCCGGCTCACAAGACATTTCGACAATGTTAAAACAAGACCAGCAAGACCTCCCGACGTGCCGATACCCCGATAGGAGCCGCGCGTATCTCGTCTCAGGCCACGATCGGATAAGCGATGCATACATGTGCCAAAATAACCCAGGTTTCCCCGGGGCGGCCCCGCACAATGCTCTAGTTTGGACCAACACTCATGAGGAGCACCGGTCCGGTTTGTTGATTAAGAATCCTCGGGTGCTAGTCAGTCCCTATGCATGTTTAATTGTTATTAGGCAAATGGTAAAACCAAGGTTGGGCCTTGCTGGAAGAGTTTTATTCAAAGTGAACTGTGAAGGGGGCCCCATAAACCCCAACCGTGTTAGGAACACAAAATTAAGGAACATAACACTGGTATGACGGAAACTAGGGCGGCAAGAGTGGAACGAACACTAGGCAAAAGGCCGAGCCTTC